AGCTGCAACCACCCTCTGCGTTCCCCTACAGAGGACACACTGTCCCTGTGTGAGTGACATTGATGCTTTTGGAGCCAGCTGCTGTCAAGCCTTCATGTCTCCGTGCTTGACAGCTCCACTGGAGGAACAAAAAGACTGCCGTACCAAAGATGATTTGTAAACAATAAAGCAAGGAAGAAGGAGTGTTTTCCATCCCACTGTGTCCAACAGCGTAAAAAACAATGCCGTGTTGCCCGTGGTTAAGACAAATATAGGCTTCCTTTAAAGTGTCAGCTGCTTCCTTATGCAAAAGGGTGAAAAGAATAGTCAGGGCTGAATTTAGCTTCCTGTTGACTCTTGCAATTTTGTTAGCTCCTTAGAAGAATTAGGAGAACTAGGCCTTTTTCTTCAGGATGCTGTCTTCTCAAAGGGAACAGTAAAACACGGCATCTTGTTCCAAATCCAGTAATGCTTATTTGAAAACCATTTTATTGTAATTTATGTTCCCTGTATTTTCAGTGTTTTTGACATAATCAGTATTAAATCAGAGGCTGAACACTGTAATTCTGTAATTTTTTCTGTTTTTCCAGTAAGAACTTGGTTGCTGATTAACTGTCTTTGGCAGTGAGTGGGTAAAAATTAACACATTAACAACAATGAAACCAAAGTGAATTAGAATACCATTATCTAAAATAAATTATGTTTTATTAGTACTGTGTAATGTTCTTTTAACTGATGACAATGATTTATTTTTACTTAGATGAATGATGAAACTAATCAGTGAATTGCTGGATAGATGCTCTGTTAAATTACTTCTGAATTCAATTGGGAGCCATTAATCTATTGCTTTGTGTGCTTATTTGTCACTGAATTCGTAGAGGGATGTGCAGCTTCTTACCTCATTTACATAAATAGGAACTAGAGCATCTTCACTGGTTATGAGTGGAGTTTCACTGTTTTGGTTTTGTCTCTGTCTTAGGTTCTGTTTGAAGAGATACCTTTCAGAAACCATCTTATTTTATTTTCTTTTTGTTTTTAAAACTTTTTAAGGGAATTGATCCTGCTTATGGCAATATACAAGGGTTTGTTTATTTTTCTTTTTTATTCTTTCAGTTAATAATGTTATCTAATTCTATTGTAATGATTGCTTAAAGATGGATGTGCACTGGTCACTTATTTTTATATTTTCTCTGTTACACTGGATAAACTGATGTTGTGCTGGTTTTTCTAGTCCACCCATAAGAATCTTCATTAATTTTAATCAATCAGGAAAATAACAGATTTGTTGGCAATAAAAACAGTGCAGATTCAGGAAGCTAATATAAATGGAAATGCTTTTATTGCAACTTTACAATCCAAAGCAAGCATCTGTCAGCCAGCTTACAATTTAAAGGAAAATAGCAACTGAGCCATTTGTGAGTATTTAGCATAAATGACAGCCGCGTCCCCAGTACATGATGATTTTCCTAGCAAAGAGTTACACTGTGGGAGGTAAAGAGGAAGAGCGTTAGAAAATTTTTATTAGTTCTTTGAAACATATTTTTCTAGTAATAGAAACTCAGAAGAAATTTTGTTTTTACTGTATAGAATTCTCTCCAAATAGCACCATCGCCTTCAAAAAATGTAACATTCTTGATTGAAAATTGCCTCCTACCGAAATTATAAGTCATGCCCAAGACTACTTTACAAAAAAGGTAAAACTGGTTTAATTCTCAACTAAGTTGCAGCACTGATCTACCTCTTCAACTCTAATGTAACATTCAAAACATTTGAAGACAGATTATCCACGCCATAAAGATGGCGTAAGATTAGTTGAGAAAGAAAGAGGGTAGAGAAAGAAAACAAATCATTACTAGAGTCTATCTTCAGTGTTTTTTGCTCTTAAATGAAACAAAACAACCAAACAAATGACTCTAGATTTTGATAATTATTTAATTTCAACCTTAAATCCATAGTCTGTACCCTGTCAGCCAGTGGTAGGAACAAGTGGATGCGGGGAAACCTCTTGAAAGCCAAATAGTGGTGTGGAAAGGTATTAACAGTCTAGTAATTCAACTGCACATTAGGGCTGGAGCTTCCATATTGACCTTGCAATTTTGCTTAAGATGTTTGCACTTTATATTTTGGTCAGCTCAAAGGAAGGAATGAGCTGAATGCTTGTGGGAAGTCATAGAATGGAGCCTACAGCACTTTAGCTTTGAAGATCCTTTATCTGTGCTATCTGTCCTGTGAGTATCCTTTGGAGGACCTGCAGTGGGTTAACTCTGCAGCTGCTGACTGCATCACAAGATTATGATTCCTAACAGTTTCAAAGCTGAGGAGTCTGCTGCTTTTTCTTTGCCTTTTGCAGAGAGACAGAGGAGCCATGTGTTTCATAGCGGCTCATAGGCAACACTTGAATTGTATGATTTGTGTATGACTGGACAGTTTGTACAAATGGACTGAGAACAGAGTTCCTGAAATGCCCCTACAGTTTGAGCAATATGCAGGTTTGTAACCTGAATGATTGAAGAACAGTCATGTGCAATGTTAAAAAAATACATGCTTCTCCCAGAGCATGCTAAGCAATTCCTCTTCATTAGGGTAAAAGCAGCTGAAATGCCTCCAAGCATCAGGGACACTTAATGTCTGCCTTGAGTTTATAAGTATAGTCTTCTGGAAGCTGCATCTGTTGAATGTTTTAAGCTAAACAATGGCATGCAAACTGTCTATGTCATGTCCAGAATTTTCATTACTTTGTTGGGGGAGGCAAAAGCTTCTGTGGGCTTTTGTGGGCATGGTGGCTTTTCACAGAGAGCTGCATTCAGCTTGGTTTTCTTCCTGTGTATGGGTGGATTTCTTCACAGGTTAGGCCACAGTGGTGGTTTTATTTGCCACTTCTTCCTCCCTTTAACTCCCTCAAATCATCCTTACAGCTCTGATCTTGTTTGTCTGTCTCTTGGGCTCTCTGAAGGGCAGGAATTTCAAAGATTCATGCGCTCTTGGAAATGAAAGTATATATGCAAATGATAAGTAGTAGTATCATCTTTGAACATAACAGGATATAAGCCTCCTTTGAAGGACAGCAATTCATCTCAAGCAATATCAAGGGCTGTTTGCAACTCAGAATTTTGAAGCACTTAGTAAATCCTGAATGTTTATTTTGGGGATCTAGAGAAATTGAACATGTACTGAAGTCACAGAAATTACGTGACAGAGTTACCATGGCTCTTAAGTTAATGGCTGCTGCCTTTGTAATTTATTTGTCACAGCCTTGTCTTTGCATAACTGGCTGTCTTGGAAGAGCTCTGACATATCTTGAATAAGAATGGTGATGTTATTTATACAAACTTACCACTTCTAAATTTCCTCCATCCCTACCCCACTCCCTGTACTGAACCTGTGAGCTTTCATTTGGTCAGGGTCACCTCAGCAATGAAAAGTCCTTTGAATTTCAAGATATGCTGCTCTTTCAATAACTGGGTAAATTAAAAAATGTTCTTGGGAAGGCGGATGCAGAATCAGAATGCAGTTGCTTACTTAGTATTGCTCTGCTGTGCTGTCCCTGGGTTCCCAACAGTGGCTGGGCCTCAGTAAACTGGAATTGATTTTTCTACTCTAGCATATATTAATCCAGAATTAGGATATGCAAAATGCTTTCATTTATGTTATTAGATAGCAGGTTATGTTTTTATACTAGCTGAGTGGAATCTAATTTGCTGAGAATAGATGGTAAAACAAATACATCTAAGGGAGAAGATAAAGTAAAAAATGAATACCAACAAATGCAGAGTTTGTGCTGTAGCGCTGCATCTGTTTTCTATGCTATGTACACGGTTGTAATGCCTCGAGAATACATTATGCAATGTTAGATGTTGCTCTGTACATTTAAGTGACAATAAGTGCTGCCACTGTTGGAACTTACTGTCCAGGTGAAAATAATTGTTTTGCCATGCTGTATCCTGTCACTGTGGCATTTGCATTCTCAGAGGCCCAGGCACAGTAGCTTCTGTCTCTGCTGCAAAGTCAGGTTTTGACAGGTTTGATAAATGAAAAATTCCTGCAAGTTTTTTTTTTTTTTTTTTTTTTTTTCACGAGGAGAATATTAACTGCTGTGTTGTAGACAAATTTCATTCTTATAACTTTATCATACTACTTGAAATTCCTATGCTGTTCACCCCTTGACCCTGTTTTACATACATACACACACACACACATATATATATATGTGTGTGTGCAGGGCTACACTGATGTACTGTGAGCTATTTAAATGGCTGCTTCAACACCACTAAAGGTGAATGACTCAAGGCTGACAGGAAGATGTTCCACCTGTAGCTTTGAGATCCTCTGTAGTGAAGTAGACTGTGCAAATCCTATTTAATACATTGATGCATAAGATAGCATGACAATTTGACCTTGCAATTTAATGCCCTTCTCAGCTGCAACAAGGGCTCCTTAGTTAAAACGGTTTTCTAATTTTCATTTGTGCTGTATTTGGGGAGCTGAGCACTTATGAAGCTGCTGGGATGCTCTAAATATCTTTACTTTATGCTTTAGAGTGACCCAGCTCAGTGAAAGAATGATGGAGGGATCCAGGGTGACTCCTGAGTCCCTTTTGTTCTCACATTGTTCCTTCTTCCTTCCTTTCTTGTCCAGAGCTGTCTTTTATGTAAAAGGTCACTTTCATGGCTTTTTTTCCTGGTAATTTTTTTTCCTCTCTCTGCAGCTTGGCTAGAAGACACATTTGGAGTGCCTATCTTGGTCATTATGTTTGTCACAACTTTATAACTATGCAGTTTGTTTATGCAGGACTGTTATTCTCTTCTGTGTTGCATCTTTTTTGAATTTTGGCTGGGGAAGCAGGGATAAGAACTGTTCTTTGTCTACTTACCAGCTAATTTCTGGACTTTTTTCCTAGCTCCTCATTCTCCGTTTTCTTTCCTCACTTTGAGCCCTGCCAGCTCCCTGGTTCTCCAGGAGCAGCTGCTACAAAGATGTATGTGTTCTCCTCTGTAAAAACAGTCCTTGTTTTGTGTTGCTAGGCTACACCCTTCCAGCTGCCACTGAAGAAATGCTCTGTGGTGGGAAACGGTGGGATTCTCAAAAAGAGCGGCTGCGGAAAACAAATAGATCAAGCGGATTTTGTCATGCGGTAAGATGGAAACCTCAATGACAAATTGTCTGCCCTTCCCCCTGCTCAGTCTCTTGACTTTTCAAAGCTATTCAGTTGTGATTAATCAATTATAATTTGCCTTGGGTACTTTTTTTTTTTTTTTTTTATCCCCTTCGCAGGATGTGATTTGGGTAGAAGTGTGAGAAAGGGCAATAAATAGAGTTTTGGCTGGCCTCTGCAGATATGTGCAGATATGTGGGGGAAATCTGCAGATGGGTGCATTGTGATTGTGACAGATCGTACAGTGTCACAGACAGGGATTTAGGAGCTTTTTAATTATTCCTTGTTAGATGGAGTCTCGTCTTGTACTGTGCTTTGTCCTTCACAACTCTAAATGCAATCATATGCAACCCCTTGAAATCATGATGAGTAGATACTGATTCATAGGGCAAGGATTAATAAGTTGGGACAAGCTAAAGTATTTCCACATTTTTCCTCCCTTCAGATTAACTTCTGTCTAAGAGAAGACAAAACCTTTTTCCTTGATGCCATCTGGTTTTGAATTCCCCACATTTGCTGTGCCTGTGGTTTTCTGAAGTCATAGGAATCTGTCAGAAGGGTGCTGAATCGGCTACTGCTTTCTTGACTGAATTTGGCACTTTGTAGATTCAAGATTCTTTAAGGAGGAGAGACAGAAATTGGCCCCTTTTTGTTAAACATGAACAAGAAAAACATTGTGGGGCAGAAACTGGAAGACTGCATCTGAAGAGATGAGAAATGGAATTTCTTTGGTTTTTGAGGTAGATGCGTAATGAGCTCCCACTTTAGCAAATCTACTTATTGAATCCTGATAGCTTATTATAAGGCCATACAAACTTGCTCTAAAGCAGACAGAATTACTATAATTTCTGGCTTGCATCTCAAGGAACAAAAATGCTTTTGATGTTAAAGTAAAGAAACTCAACAAACTAAAGACAAAGGCACAGAGGGAGGGACTCAGTGTGCTGATTGCCATTACTGCAAAGCTCCTTCAGTGTTCCAGAGACTAAATATAAGAAACTGCAGGGTATGATATGGTAATATGTAGATGCAATAGGAAGTTAAAATACTGTAGGAGCAATCAGTTACAGAAACAATAAAAACATTTTTTAAAGCAGCTGTTACAGTCTGATCAGAGAAGATGAGGTTTTTTTCCTTTCTAGGGAGGGTAAACTAGCCATTGTCTGTACTGAACTTATTTTGGATTGGAAAGAAGCAGTAGGTAAAAACCTGCAAAAATCCCAGAAACTGCCTGCAGGCTGTATTGTATTAGTGGTGCAGTCATATTTATGAAAATATTTCAGTTCTGTTGGGTAAAAGATAATATGCCACTGGGAGAGAATATTTTTGTAGCAGGTGGAAAATTTAGCAGATCTTCTCTAAATCTGATTTCTATAATCTGAGAGCTGAGAGAGGAAGAGAATAACAATAACTTGCATAATATTTTGCATTTTTTAATAGGAAACGTGTCTGATGGCTTTAAACTATTTCTGCAGTGCAAAATAGTCATGGCAGGTTTTGCCATTGTTCATTCCTTCCATTCACTTTGCTTTTGATTTCACTTACAGCAGAGCTTATGGAAATACGATTGCAGCCATCTTCTTCAATGAATTGTAATCACTAAGGTTAATTAATGAATTTAAACTCATCTCATTGCTGAGCATCTTCTACAAACACAGTTGTACCGACATAGAGATTAAAAGAGCAGCAGTTTTCAGCCCCTAGGCCACAGCACACTTCATCTACAATAAAAAAGGTGCATGGCATATGGTCTACATGTTTAGTCAGAGTAGTTACCATAGGCTTTTACTGAGTTATGTGGGTGTTTTTCAAGTTTGTAATGTTTATTTTTAGGATGTTTCTTTTAAAATTTTCCCTTTCCCTTCACACAAACAAGTATTTTAAGAAAGAAGTGTTGGATACTAAATCATAAGCAACGTATTTGTCTGTATTTGACAGAAGATACGTATTTTCATGGCATTAGACTGTGAAGAAATATTTATATGTCTTGTGATTCTCTCTGTACCCAACTGCCTTTTATGTCTCTGCTATGGTTTGTGCATCTGCAAGGAGGAGGATTTCTCTCCAGGGGACTGGGGGATGTTTTCCATGCTGTTTGCTAGTGAATTTGTTCCAAATCTGGAAGAAACTTGTCATCATGTTCAAGCTGTCTAGTGGCTATCATAACTTGGGAAGGACAAGCTGTTATCTTTTAATTATACTCTGCCATGCCATCTAGCCACATCAGCCCAGATGGAGCTGTAGATGTTAAATATGATGCTGCTTTTGGGGTTAGTAAACAAGTCCAGAAAAATGGCTTTCAGTTGCCATAGGTAATTATAGTCTTGATTCTGGTCAAGGTGCTACAAAGGAGTAGAAATGAGTATTCGAAATCCCATATTAAACTCTTATTATTCCCTAGCATTTAGTAAATGTACAAATAGCTAGGTAAGCACGTGACATCTGTCAAATGCACATGCCATTACTCAGCCAAGCTGCCTGGATTCTCTGCACCTGAAGGAGTTGTATTTATCTCTGGGCCAAACTCAGAAGAGGTGTTTCTGTCTTGTGAAGTTTAAAGGATCCCTCTCATTTCAGTCAGCTGTTTCTACCTATTGAACTGGAAGGCCTCACATGTGAAAAAGGCACACATGAACTGCTGTGCTTTGTTGATGATTTTTTCCCCCTACAAAATCTGGGCCTAAGCAGGGAGATACAAAAGTAAGTTGGCCAATAAGTTCTCCTCTTTCATTTATGTTCATGTCAAAAAATGCTGACTTCAGAAACTGTCCTGCTTCTAACTTCTTTTCTGCATATTCACATACTCCTTAGTACAGGAACAAGAGTAAGATAATATAAAATACATGCATCTTATTGTGAATCTTTTACTTCTTGGTGCATTACTCACCTGCACAGGGCTTAGCACTCTGCTGACCCCTTCAAGAAAAGGGCAAGGAGTTTCTGAAGATGGACTGACTTCTTGCTGAGTTTCCCGTTGGATACTTAGGCCACATCTTAATATTTCATACAGAACAAATTGGGAAAGTGATTTACTGCTGAATGGAGTTAATGAGTTTAAATAATGCTTCTGCAACTGATGTGAGAAATAAATTAAGATGATGAAACTAAGGAGTTATCTTGGTCCATCACTGTGCTTTTAAATAAACTTCAATCAAAAAAGGCCATATGAGTCTATGTTTATTCAAATCAGGAACCATTAAACTGTGGCCTGCCAGAGGTCACCCCATCTCTTTGCTCTAGGGCAAGGTCACCTGTACACACATCTTTCTTCACAAATATTTGTTTGACCTACCATTGAGAACTGCTAGTGAGTGTTTCTACCACCTCTGTGAATAGAGTTAGACTGATTAATGCACTGCACTTGGTGCAGGCAGAGAGAAGAAACCAATTGCTGTCTTTTTTTCTTCCCAATTTTTTATTACATAAGCCTTTCTCAGTTTCTAAAGTTTTATTCTTTATCTGGAAGATAAAAAGAAAACAGAATAAGCAACCAGTCATTGCTGGACTTGAGGGTTTTGTGATCCACTCCGGCTGCCTGGGAGGTGCGTTGCTGGAGAAGTGCTCCTGAAACAGAGTGCCAGAGAGTTTAATGGGAGCATGGGAAGAAAAATGAAGCCGCCTCTCCCAAGAGTGCAACCCATGTCATGGAGACCCGTGTCTCCCTGATAGCAGAGAAGTGGTGGATTTGCAGTAACAGCTCCCTGTTGGGCTGAGGCACTGGGGCAGCTGGGAGCTGCACCTCAGCCTGTATGTACAAGAATTTGGGAGGAAAAAAAACAACAGCAAAACCACCTCACAAAACAACCCAACAACACTAAAATCTGACATTCTTGCTCCAGAAAAATTGCCAATTCCACTTTTCTTTGAGAATCTTGGTTTTGTTCTTAGCCTGTAAGCACTAATATTATTCTTCATATCTTTGGTTTAAAAAGTTAGACAACTCTGAAGTTGAAAGCATTGTCTTGACACTCATTTTTTTGTGTAATTGCTGTGTATTGACTTCATTTCTCCTGACTAATTTCTATAACAGAGCTGAGGCTTGGATACAGCTTGAATTTATGTTGTTTGCTCTAAAAGTGATGCCTCCTATTTATTTCTATGAAAACTCTAACAGATACAAAGAGCACGATTACACTATTTGATAGAGCAAATTCTCAGCTACAAAACATTATTTTTCAACGTAGTCACCATTTGCTACCTTTTTTTCCAGTGATGAATGAGAGCTGCATGCCATGCTCATAAAAATCTGCACGAGTGGAGGTGACCTGCTGTCACCCTGCTGACACACACCACCCATTGCCTCTTGCTCTCATCCAGTACTTGGTTTCCATCAACATTCACCAAGCACTGATGAATCTCAGGGGGTGTAATTTTTTTCTGCATGGAGGAATTTAATTCCACACCTTTGCTTCATACTCACTTCCATGTCAGATGCCGTTTTGTCAGACTGCCCCTGTGCTGCCCTGTGACACACAGCAACAAGCTGTAATGGAATATCAGAGGAAGGATCCAGCCTCTACTGCCATACAACCAACATCCACCTCTGACATTGTGGGCCAAGATATTAAAGTGGGAGACATTACTTTTTGAGCAGCCCTCATATTCTCACCTTTATTTACAATCTTTCCTTCTTCTTCCACCTCTTTACTTGGAAGTATTTAGGACTGCTCCTTGTTTGCATGTTTCTCTCCACTTGTGTTTTTTGGAGCCCTGTTTGCTTGCCAAAGTAGATCTACTCGGTCACTTTTTTATATTATTGCCCTGACTGCCAGAACAAGACTGTGAGAGAATGTAGTATGCACACTGTAAATAATCACTTGCATTTTTTTCTCTGTGTTTTCTTGATAAGTTCTTGTATACTGAAGGGCATTTACCCATTGTTTGCAAGACGTATATGATGTGTGATACCAATCTAGAGCCTGATGCTGGAAAACAAGACAAAGCAGAGTGAAAAACAGAACTTGGAGGAATGAGTTTGAAAGAAGTTTGGGCTGTAGATAATAACAGCCTCTTCCGTAGCCTTTCAACCTCTCAGAGGTGCCAGGTCACTTTGTTTTTGCTTAATAGTTCATAGGATCATCTCTGCAAAAGATTTTTTTTCTGTATTTCCCCACAGTCTGGTGCAAAAATGCCCTATGGTGCATATGGGACGTAGTACAGTAGGAAAATGCCTAGCTTGGTCCAGTGTCTGTACAGCACTTTCACATTTTCTGTCAGCTTGCAGTTCTTTTTCTAAAACTGCAAACTTGCAGAATAAAAAAAAACTGGGGATGAAGCCTGTCAATCCTGACTGTCAGTTAAAATCTTGAATGTCTTTCTGTGCACAGGTGCAACCTTCCTCCTCTATCCAGAGAATACAGCAAGGATGTTGGATTGAAAACCCAGCTGGTGACTGCAAATCCCAGTATAATTCAGAAAAGGTAGGGAGCATGTTGCTCTGTCTCTGGACTGGAGAAACAGAAAAGAAAAAATGTGTAATTTGTATTTTAGATATTAGTGTGCCAGAGTTATGTCCTGATCCTGGGAAAGATGAAATGCACAGTGGTTTCATGTTGGGTGAAATAAACCAAGATCTTTTCACTGTAAGCAGGGAAGCTAAGGAAGGCTGGCTTCTTACGAGTTTTTTCTTCTGTTTTTTCACATGTTCCTTCGGTTCCCTCTCATTACCTGTATCACTGGGTATGTGCTAGAAGTGCTTTGGCTGCTTGCAAGCCAACCACATACCAAACGGGTGGACCACACTATGCACTGGTTGGGCCAACTGGTTGCTGCATCCCACAGTTAATGAAGATGCTAATTTTGATTTCTCTTTGGTTCGACTCTGATAACTTCTCTGTCCTTACTGTCTATTATTTGTTTGATAGTGACTGACAAGTACAAAGGTGACTAGGATAGACTGATCAGCAAGTTTTGATCATACAAGCTGTGCTTCCTAGGAGATTGTGATAAAGTTTTGTTTTTTATTAGTTGAAATTTTCCAAATCGTAATAGCTGTTGAGAGAGGGGAAGAGACAAGGAAAAAGATATCAGTGCCAGCTCTGATTTTGCCTAACTGAATTTTAATTGCCATGTTGTTGTTGTTGTTGTTGTTGTTGTTGTTGTTGTTGTTGTTGTTGTTGTTGTTGTTATTATTATTATTATTATTATTATTATTATTATTTTGTCACCCAGAATGAGGTAGGCTGTTCTCAGACAGAATGAGATCTGGTGGTAACCTGTCATATTCACTGAAAAACAAAGAGAAAAAGCATAAACCAAGGGAGTGAAAAGGAGATGATCAGGCATAAAAAGAGAAGTATAATGCAGGTATGGGGAGGTGAAGGATTGTGAAAGGAAGCAAAGCAGTGAAATAAAATGAATAATAGAAAGTCAGGTACGTGAGAAAGAAGGAAGGCACTGAGCAGAACTGGAAATTGATGTTTGTTGGTATCTAAATGTAATATTTTTCTCTCTGCCAGGAATCAAAGAATTGTCTAATTTTGAGTGAAAAAGATGGTTTGTATGACAGTCTTCAACAGAGTAGGAAAGAGAAAGTGATCAAGAGGGAAATGGAGAAGTCATCAGCTTCAAGAACTGTTTCCAAGCAGAGGGTGTCTGAATAGGGGAAGGCACAGAAATGTCTTTAGGGTAAGATGAAAGCAAAACAAAGAGAACTGGAAGAGAATGTGCCAGGTGCCAAACAAGAGGAGGGAACTGTTCAGGGCAGGGTATGAGGGTAAGGGATCTGAAAATCCTATGGGAGGTACAAGGCTAATGAGGTTGATTTAAGAAGTGGGATGAAATGTCCAGAACATCACATAGCTTGGCAGTAGCATTGTGGATAAAATGAATAAGAGCAGTGACAAGTAAAATGCTTGCAAAGGTTTTTACAATTGTCAAGGCAGAGAATTATTAAACAGATTATTTTCTGTGTTTCCCACACCCTTCATCAACGGCTAGAGAGGAAAGTTTACTGTACTTAGTATGTTTTCAGAGAAGAAGAGAAAAAGGAGAAAGAGTTTTAGTGATGGTACAGGAAGACTATGGAACTATGCTAGGGAGACTGTGGAGTTAACTAATACTGAAAAAAAGAAAGGAGTGAGCACTTGTGAAACGATACTCTGTGAGAGAGGGATATCAAAATGGGGAGCGAGCGGATGAGGAGGGAAATGGGGGAAGTGAAAAGGGAGAAAGAATAGGATAACAGGAAATGGGATTGTTTTCAGTGTCCATTTTCAGCATGAGCGGATAGTAACTGTGATGCAAGACATTTGATGAGAAAGTAATGTGGTGTGTATATGTATGTTTATTGATCAGATAAAGAGATATACAACCAGTTACTAAGAATAAGATAGAGAACAAATTAATAGTGCTGAAAAATAGCAGAAACCTCTTCTGAGGTTTGAAGCTCTTGAGAGATCTGGCTCTTATCTTCCTCTGCCTGGTCAGAAAGAGATTTTTTTTTTAAATGTGTATATTTTACTAATGTTTCCTGTATGCTCTCTAAACTCATTATTTGGACTGCTGTGTGGTAAGTTAAAATTTAATCAAAGGTACAAATCAGGAAGTTAAAATACAAAGAAAACTACTACCTTCCTAAAGCAATCAATTTCTATAGAAACAAGCTTTTTAAGGAACTCAGATACTTATCAATGTAGACTTTCATGACATTCAAGGACTTTCTCAGAGTAGTGACTGATATGTATCTGTTTCTAAGCTATAAGTTAACTAGCTTCACATAATGGCATTATTCATTATCATTCCTCCACTGTCCTCTTGTCCTTACTTTAAGTAGGTTGATATTGATGAGGCTTGACGTCTCAATTATCTCTCAAGTGTGTAATGGCAGATTTAGTGAATTAGTCCTGCAATACCATTCATTGCTTCTAAAAGATATATCTTTACTAGATAATTTATGATTAAGTATATTGGATAGGGCAAAATTTTCGTATCAGGGATGGGGAAGTAATTCTCTGTTTTGTTTTTTAAAATCAGAATGATTTATTTCAGATAACTAAATTGTTGCTGGTAATTACTGCTCAGTGATATTTCTGTCTAGCTTGACAGCCTTAGGATGGGAGAGTAAAAAATTTCGGTCTGGGAATACCTTGTCTTTAGTGATACCTTCTAAATGTTACCATTTACAAGTCCTGAAGTAAGCAGATAGTAATGAAAGAATTAGAGATCAAGTTCCTGCTCTGTTTAAAGAAGCAATGTCATTGTGCATGCAGGTAGTACAGATTTTATGTGTAAAATATGGTGCTCAGTTCTCAGCTGGATTTGAAAAAGTATGAGGAATTTCCTACCTTAGTGTTGCTTCTTATCGTAAAGGAGTACTGACAGCAAAAGTATTATGATAGAAATTTCCCTGGCTGACTAGGAGACTCATAATGACTGCTCCAATTTCATTTTTCATCTAAGATGTGTCACAGGCATCTCCCTTCTATTAATCTCTCAAGCCTATGTAAATCTTCCTGGCTGTTCTTAGGCTCTGTGGAAAAATCAGCAAGGTAATGTTGCTTACAGAGATTGTTTCTCTATCATTTCTGTATCTAATCATTTACCTACAACTGTGGAGCAGAGCCGGACTACTCAGTGGATCACAGTAGAACATGAAAACATTTATGTAGATACTAATGATTTCTGATCAATGGCGGATTTTGAGTAAGTGGTACAAGGAGTCACTATTTAGGATATAGATATTATATGTTTCTTGAGTCACTGATTAAGAGCTGTTTCAGAGAAGCAAACTCTAGCAGTTAGATACTATCTTGCAACCTTCAACAACTTTGATAAATATCTGATAATATACTTACCTTCAGTCTGAACTTTCAAATAATCTGCAAACAAATGTTTTTTGCAGCAATCTTCCTTTCTATTTGCCATGACTTTTCACTCTGTCTAATCTGTGTAGACATACATCATTGTTAATGTGGATGTAACAGCCCAAATAAATGGTTTCCTAGCATCCACTGTATTTCAGATCTACTGATACCTGTTGGTAAGTGTTTCATCCACAAGCTGTTTATGTTTCTGAGCTGTGTGGAAATAATCTCATTAGCAAGTGACACAAAGAACATGGTAGCATTCTTTATTTCTTGTAATTCAGCATCATTATAACTAACAGAAGCCCCTGAGGTTTATAACACACTTCCTGACACCTTACGCCTTTGAGACGTAATCCAACAGCCAGTTGAATTGTGTGAAGCTTCTCTCCCTTTTCATTTCAGTGTGCTTGAAGGCACACTCTTTGCACTTGCAAGAGAGCAGACAGCTGTGCAGCTGCTCTTTGAGCTGCTGCAGTTGTCAGCTTGAGGAGCAGATTGTGAAAGAAGACTTGGAGTCACTGCCCTCACAATCCCTGCTGCATGATGAACAATTAGGTCTGCACCATTCTCTGGAGAGACACCTTCCAGTCTCCTCCTCAGCCTGAGCCCTCCATGCTGGAAAGTGGCACAGGATAGGAAAATAACGTGGAGAAATCCTGCTGGCCAAGCAGGAAAGGAGAGCCCTTAAGTCTTTGTAGTGAAGTTTCTCAATAGTTATATAACACTGGCAATGGAAATATTCTGACTAAAACTTGAAGAACAAGGTTTAGGGTCAGTCATCAGATTTGGCAGTTTGGTACGAGCTTCCTTTCACTGAATGTGAATAATTTTTTTGCATTAAAATTAATTCACTTTTTTGATCTCAGTGATACTTCACAATTTTTGGCAACATCCATTTCCTGCACTAAAGCAAGATGAAGGAATGAGACTAAAGCTTAACAAATGCAATGACTCTCCCTTTGAAGCTTTGAAATGTCAGTTAAATATCGCTGTTATTTATTAGGTTGCCACAAAATTTGAGTGGGATTAAATTGCTTTTCTAAGGTGCTCTCTGAACATAAGAATCAGCTCATAATCTTTCCTAGATTCAGTTCCAAAGACAGCTTTGAGTCCTTGTCTTAAGCCATTAGGAATAAAAAGACTGAACCAAGGTAATTATTTAATTTCCTAAAAGCTTATTTAATCTTTGATTAAACAGATGCACAGTGTTAAGTCCTGTTGCTAATGCTCATGAAAATAACGCATCAGAATTCCTCTTGACTGTGTGTCTTTGTTAAAGCTGATATATTTCAATCATAGGTAGTTACATCTTACATTGATAATTGAAAAAGATCATAAAAACAATTAGAGAAAAACCATTAAAAAAAAAAGCAATAGAGAAAAATAAGTTCTTAAGGAAAATGTCTTGCTCATATCTTCTTTTTTTAGGAATAAAGGGGATGTGGGGATCTTTTCCTGTGAACTCATTTTACCATGGAATTTTAAATAATTCGCATAGCTGTTCTTTCATTCCTGGTGCCTACTGGTGATACTGAGTGTATCTCAGGTTATTCCATTGAGAAGTACTCCAAAATGATAAGAATCATTGTTTTCATTTACATCACAAAACTGTT